AGGTTTGTTTGTTTCAAAAAACAGAAATGTTACTTAGGTTTATATGAATTTGCATTTTTAGAACATGAATATATGGGATACTGTAGACATAAGTTAGTTTTTCTGTATCTGTTCATGTGAGCTTTTTTTTTTTTGAGAGAGAGAGATCCTTAAAGAACAAGACGAGGTGGTAGTTGTAAAAATTCTTGTGCTATTTAAATATAAGCAGGTGTATTCCAGACAGTTTATATCCCTGAAGAGAGGTTAACTTGAGTTCTTTCTTGGCCATTTTGTTCACATAAGGGCTAAAATAGTCATTCTTTTTTTATTCTGGAATGCAGTATTCTTCATTTTGGTAGTTAATATTCTAAAGAAATTTTATTCTGTATTTTGAGAAACATATGCATTCATTTATTCTGGAAATAGTTATATGAAGGTTAAGGTTAAAGAAATTGTAAACAAGATAAAAAGGCAAATAATGGAAATGTTGGTAGAATATATGAGATTTAATATCCCTACTCTACGAGGATCACCTACAAATCAATTAAAAATTATCAACTGTGCCAGGCTTGGTGGCTCACACCTGTTATTCTAGCACTTTGAGAGGCTGAGGCAGAAGGATCACCTGAACCCAGGAGTTCGAGACCAGCGTGAGCAACATAACAAGACCCTGCCTCTCCAAAAAAAAAAATAATAATAAGCTGAGTATGATGGTGCACATCCATGGACCTAGTTACTTGGGAGGCTGAGGGAGGAGGATCCCTTGAGCCCAGGAGTTCAAGGCTGCAGTTAGCTACAGTCTCACCACTGCACTCAAAAAAAAAAAAAAGGAAAGAAAAGAAAGAAAACAGATAACCAAATAGCAAAATAGTCAAAGGATGTGAATAGTTCTATCACAAAAATAAGTTCAAGTGTCTAACAAACGATTGTGAAAAGATGCTTAAACATCATTAGACATCAGGGAAATGTAACATAAAATAAGGTACTATATTTTTTTGCCTATCAGGCTGTCCGAAACGTTATAATTTGATGACATGCAGTATTAGCAAGGGTGTGAAAGTAAAAAACATCATCTACCTTGTTTTAAATCTTTGGTTTTTTGGTTTTTGTTGTTGTTGTTGTTGTTGTTTGAGACACAGTCTTGCTCTGTCA